GAAAGGACAGCTGAGAGTTCTGCAGGTGCTGATGCTGAAGCCACAGCGAGAGATGAGGTTGAAAAGCTGGATCTGAAACATCAAGCCTGGTTCCTGCCCCGAGCCCTGCAAAAAGGATGAGGGAGAACAGTTTTTAATCTGTTCTGAGCAAAATTCACTGATGAAAAAACTCTCAATGCTAAGGAATTGCCTTTTTAAGACAGTAACTCCACCACAAGCATGTCAGATTACCAACAAAATACACCTGGCATCCATTTAAAGCAGAAGTAAGCTTGGAAATGAGCCCCAAACCTCGTGTGACCAAGCTCTTCTAAAAACAGCCCTTGTCGAAGCTGGCAGGGACAGGTCACAAGCGGGTGGTCCCGTCCTCCACCTCCTCCACGGATCTTGCAGCGGCTCTGCCAAGTCACGAGGCATTCCCTGGGCAGCCCGGCTTCTCCTTGGCATGGCGAGCCTGGAAACCTCACTGCCAAATTCTAGGGCAGGAGAGAAGCTGGGAGCTCAGTGCAGCAAAACCATCTCACCCCAAGATTTCAGACAACCTTGGTAAACATCAAGTGTTTGAGAAGAGAATCTTCCAAATGCTAAACGGGGAGAATCCCTAAAGAGCAATACCAAAAACCAGCCGATGCTTAGTAGACATCATGCCATCACGAGAAAATGGATGGAGATCCAGAGAGGAGCAGAGGAGATCCTGCTGCATGTCTGCGGTGCTCGACCACAAAGTCCCCGAAGCCGTGCTGAAACCTCCCGGCATGGCTGGGAGCCTCACAGCGGTCTCTTCCGTAGTGCAAACACTGGAAGAGGCTGCAATTCCCACCCACGGACAGGTGAGAGCAGACAACCCACAGGGAAGTGCTCTGAAAAACTCACAGTAAGGAAAAGCAAGTAGGAATTAGTGATCCAGGTGGGATGCTGTGCCTGTGGCTCCTCAGGGGTCCTGTGCACTAAGGGGATGAGAGGAACCCTGTCCACACACAGCTCAGCCTACATCCTTAACGGCGTTATCTCCCATTGCCTTGACGTTGGAAATTCTGCAGCAGGATATAATCTGAGAAAAACGGAGTGTGTTCCAACCGCACCAACCCGGACCCCCAAAACCCTTCTTGCAAAACTGACTGCGCTTGGCAAACCCATTTTGACTGGGAATAACTGCTAGAGAAGGAAAGTGTACTAACTTTAGGGAAAAAAAAAGAAAAAAAGGAGGTATCTTCTAAAGAAATGCTCGAATCGGGCAAAAAGGCAAAGCGAGCTTTGTCAGAGTGACATTTTCCGAACCGGCTCTATCCGTTTCTAAATGTAGCTATTGCATTTAAAATTCATACCCTTTCCTGCCACTGAATTAATTTCATGTCTAAGCAAATCCCAAGTTAAATCC